CAAGGGCCTATGTGCTCAGGTCATTTACATATAGCTGACCATATGATTCATGGTCCATCTGAGGCCACTTTCACGCCAACAGCTGCTGGCCTGAGGGGAGAAGAAGGTCCAAATGGTAGTAATGCAATGGATTTTCAAACATTAGTTTCGCATACAATTTCTCGCATATTTCAAGCTGGTCTGCAACAAACCAGATATTCTTGTCAGTCTGGTGCATCCACCAGCACTAACTGTCGACATCAGATACATCCCCAACAACAGCAACAATCTGTAAATTACTTTAATCAAGGACATGATCTTGATTGTCTAGAAGAATTTGATATGTCAGATGATGAAGAGGAAATGGTTTCAGAAAAGCCAGCATTCCAAGGTCTTTTTAATCCAGCCTTATTTAAGTCATTGTTGCGTAAGGCTAAATTAGCTACCAATTTGGGTGTCAACATAGAAAAAACATCTGAGTCAGGTAGCCAACTTGACCATAATAATACTTTATTTAACTTACCAAAATCGAATTTAGATTTTGTACCATGTCCAGATCTTTTCTCACAAATTATACAAAAACCATGGGAACACCCTAGTTCAACATCGGGACCGAACAGTTTTGATAAAAAATTATATTGTGTTGCTCCTGAATTGGATGAATTACTACAATTACCGTTGATAGATGAACCTGTAGCAACATTAACTTCATCTTCTATTTTAGTTAGCGAGGTTGGGGAAGGCCTTAAAGTAGAAGATAAAAGAGCTGAGATGCTATGTCGTAAGACTCATCAAGCTGCTGCATGGGCAGTTAGAGCAGCAATTTCTTCTTCATTCTTTAACCGTGCCTCTCTTATATGGCTACGTCAACTGAGGGAAAGATTACCACCAGGAGAATCTAGAATTCAACAAGACATATCAAAACTTATAGCAGCAGCAGAATATTCTGCTGATGCATCATTAGATGCAGCAAAATTCGCATCTAGGGCTCTTGCTTCATCAATTTCATCACGCCGACTCCTTTGGCTGAGAAATTGGAGGGCAGATTCAAAATCTAAGTGGAGGCTTACATCAGCACCTTATAAAGGTCGTTCTTTATTCGGAACTTCACTAGATCCAATTCTCATAGAAGGAAGAGATAAGAAGAAGGTATTACCTTCATTGTATAGAAGACCAGACCGCAGATTCTCACCTTATCAGCGTCAATCCTTTCGATATGATCAAGGATCTGCTAATGCCTTCACTCAGCGTGGTAACCCACAACTCTATTCATATGGATATTCAAATGATAGGAACTCCTTTCGTGGAAGAGGAGGACGTCAAAATTCTTTCAAGAGACCTTTTAGAGGCACCATGTCACGACAATCACGTAGAGGCAAGTGACTCGAAAGATGCCCTTCCCATTGGGGGCAAACTTCAACATTTCTTTCATCAATGGGAACTTTCTACGACAGACGCATGGATATTACGTACAGTGACAAGCGGTCTCACTTTGGAATTTACCTCCCCCCCACCACAAAGGTTCCTACAATGTACATGGCACAACCATCCATCTCAAAGAGAGCTGATGAATACAGAAATTCAACATCTAATCCAGATCAATGCAATCGAACCGGTTCCAAAACATCAAATTCGAACAGGTTTTTATTCCAGTTTCTTTCTGGTACCAAAAAATTCAGGGGGATGGAGGGGAATTCTGAATCTGAGACAATTGAACAAGAAAATATTATACAGAAGATTCAAAATGCATTCACTAAAGTCATTACTGGGATGCATCAGACAAGGCGACATAATGCAATCAATAGATCTCAAAGAAGCATACCTACACATACCAATTCACCCAATGTACAGACAATATCTCAGAATCGAATATGCGGGCAGGCATTTTCAATACAAGGCAATGCCTTTTGGCCTTTCCTCCGCACCGAGAACATTTACGAAACTTCTGGCAGCGGTAGCGGCTTCTCTCAGATTAATTCCAATTCGTCTAGTATGTTACCTAGACGATATTTTAATACTGTCGACATCAGAGACTCAGGCATGTCGAGACAGACAATTAGTAATAAAATCTTTACAAGCTCATGGGTTCACAATCAATATGGAAAAAAGTCACTTAGTCCCAACAACAAGAATTCAGCACTTGGGAGCTATAATAGATTCAACAAAGGGTATGGTATACCTATCTCAAGACAGGCAGAACAGTATCAAAGATCTGATTACTCAAATACTATCTCAAAAGAAAACTACATTACTAACACTGTCTCAACTTCTAGGCAAGCTAATATCAGCAATTGCAATAGTACCCTGGGCTCGATACCATTCTCGCAATCTACAATGGTTTCTACTGCCATTTCAAAAAAGACAAACAGCACACTCTCTATACAAAGTGTTAGTACCAAAAAAAGTCAAAATGTCTCTTCAATGGTGGTTGACTTCTGCAATTCAGCAGGGATCATTTTTTCTTCAATCAGAACCAGTAATATTGACAACAGATGCCAGCTTGTACGGATGGGGGGCCCATCTGAAGGGTCTACTGGCACAGGGAATTTGGTCTCCCTTAGAGAAGAAACAACCAATCAATTGGTTGGAATTAAGAGCAGTAAGAATGGCATTAAACCATTTTCATCATCTTCTAGTAAACAAGCATGTATTAATTCTAACCGACAACATGGCCACGAAGGCGCATGTGAACCGTCAGGGAGGAACAAAATCAAAAGATCTCATGGAAGAGACAGCGAAACTGATATCTTGGGCAGAGACACATTTAATGTCAATAAAGGCAGAACATATATCAGGAGAAAAAAACCAACAGGCAGACTGGCTCAGTCGTGGAAAAATAGATCAGTCAGAGTGGATGCTCCATCCCAATGTATTCAGGGAGATAGTTCAGAGGTTTGGACAACCAGTAGTAGATCTATTTGCGACACCACAGAATGCACAGCTCCCAAGATTCTTTGCGAGGTTTCCAGTGGCAGGAGCAGAAGGCCACGATGCTCTAAGATCTCATTGGCCAGTAGGGCTTATGTATGCATTTCCTCCAATCCCAATTATTCAAAAAGTAATTCGGAAACTTATGGAAGAAAGAGCAGAGATGATATTGGTAGCGCCATACTGGCCACGCAGGCCATGGTTTGCAGAAATGCTACAACTATCGATACAAAATCCGTGGAGAATACCATCAGCAAAGATGATTCTCATTCAAGGAAAGGTTCAACATCCAAAGCCAAATTGGTTAAAATTGACCGTTTGGCGATTGAAAGGATCAAATTAGCAAAAGATAACCTTCCTAAGGAAGTAATTTATACCATTCAAGCAGCCAGGAGACCATCAACAACACGTATTTATAATGCTACTTGGAATGCATTTGTAAAGTGGTGTATAGAACATCATGTTGATCCTACATCAGCTAATGAAATTGAAGTACTGTTGTTTCTTCAGGCTGGGTTAGAGAGAGGTCTTGCACCTTCTACGTTGAAAAGACAAGTAGCAGCACTAGCTACAGTTTTAGAAGGATGCAATAAAAAATCTCTTAGTAAAGATAAGAGAATTAAATCATTCCTAAGGGGTGCAACGAATTTAAGACCACCTAAGATTCACAGATATCCTTCATGGGATATTAATTTAGTATTACAGGCTCTTACAAAGTCGCCATTTGAGCCAGTAGCTTCAATAAGTATAAGATGGCTAACAATAAAATTAGCATTCTTAATAGCAATAACATCGGCACGTAGAGTATCAGAAATTGCAGCTTTATCTATAAGGAATGATTTGTGCACTTTTTACCCAGATAGGGTAGTACTAAGACTAGATACAACATTCATACCGAAAATAAATTCTTATTTCCATAGAGCTCAAGAAATAGTTCTACCAAATTTCTGCCCAGATCCAAAACATACATTGGAAAAAATGTGGCATACTCTAGATGTACGTAGGTCTTTAATAAGATATATGAAAAGAACTGCAACATTCTGTAAAACGGAAGCATTATTTGTATCCTTTTTACCTTCCTCGATGGGAAAAAAAGTATCTTCCAATACAGTAGGAAGAGGGATTAAGGCATGTATATCAGCAGCATATGCTTCACAAGGGGTAAAGGTACCTAGTAGAGTGTTACCTCACTCAACACGTAGTGTAGCGACATCAGCTGCATGGGCCACACAGGCATCAATAGAAGAAATATGTAAGGCAGCTACATGGTCTTCTATTTCATCATTTGTAAAACATTATAAAATAGACTCATTTGCGTCAGCTGATGCAGCATTTGGAAGAAGAGTATTACAATCAATAATTTCCCCACGACAACAAGAAAAAGACTTAGAAACTCACCCTAATAGGAAAAGCTTGGGTATATCCCAAGAGTAAAGAATGTCGGAGCAACGATGCATGAAAATGGAACATTGTCTCACCTGAATGTTCATTTTATGATCGTTGCGACGACATTCTGACCCACCCTTAAGGTTTTAGTATGGTGGTCGTGGGGGGTGTTGTTTCATTACTCCTTCTGCAGTTGATATTCCGCGAAAAGCATGTAAAGAAGTCAAGAAGTGACATCGTGAAAAGAACTGATCATGCGCAGAGGGAGGAGGCGGAACTAGGCTGCAGAGGGAGAAAAAGTTTGATGAGCACTCAGTGAAATCCAATCGAAGTGAAGATGTCCCAAGAGTAAAGAATGTCGTCGCAACGATCATAAAATGAACATTCAGGTGAGACAATGTTCCATTCTATTGGCTGTTGTCAGACTCCCATGGGACCATGTAGGGGTTATGTAGGGGGTCATAGCTGGCTCTATAGGCAAAGTACAAATCCTAAGTGTTTGTCTGAAGTTTCTGAGAGTGATGCAATGAAGGGCCTTGTGTTCTGAAAGGGTGTTGGCTAATTCCTACTGTGGCTTAATGGCTTTCATCCTGTGTTGGATCTTGGGTGATGGCTGTTTCTAATCTTACAATTCTGCCCTTGTTTCAAAATATCCTGTCCAAAATGGAGACAAAATATGTTTATCAATACAAAAAGCCAGTTCAATGTCAGTTTCCTCATTTATATTTGTAAAATCAAAATTCTTCTTATGCAATTTAAATAAGTGAACTGTTGACCAATAAAGTCTTCCTCTTCCAGTTCCAGTTACACTCTGAGTTGATAGTGGTGCTATGTTCAAGGAAATCCAGTCAAATAATATCATCTAAAGCAAACGTAAATGAATAAATAGATAAATAAATCTGTGTCTGACAAAAATATAGTCCTGAATTTTCCTGCTAAAGCCTGTTTTTTTTTCTTTCTGCAGGTAAAGGTTGTGATAATAATCCATAGACTGATACTTCATTTTGTGTCATAATAATAAATTCATGTTTCATCAGCTGTCATGAGATGGAGTAGACATTCCTTACTTTCATTCTCATGGGATGACAACAATTGCCTGCAAATTTTAATTTATGAAGCTTTCACCTTTGCTGTTGTCATGCGAGGGACTCATTTTACACAAACCTTCAAATATTAAGTAATATCAATAATGTGAGCCACAATTTCTATGAAATACCAAATTTGACAGCAATGTACTTTTCAGTGTTCATCAATTGCCTTAATTTTCAACCCACCGAAACTTGTCATTTGCTGTCATAGGTTGACCACTTTGATCTTGACAATACAAACTTTCTATTTTTTTGTCTTTACCTTTTGTTGACCTACTGATGCACAATTATAATGTTAACCCAGTCATCACTATAGGTAACCTGCATTATGGCAAGTCACTATAAGTGACTTTCAATTGGAAGGACTCCTTGGTAGTGTTAAAAATTAAATCATTGCACATTGCTTATAATGTACAATGACCACTCACTGATCTTTTTATTTCATTAACAATGGCAACACAATATCTCACTTCAACTTCTCATCAAATGAAAGAACAAATCCAAAGAATACATCAGATATTCTAATGCATTAGTACTGGCATCTGTTGATGAATTACAATACTAAAGGCATTTTTTTCAATTCAAACCTCACATCTTTCTGGGAAGTTAACAATTTGGCATAATTTTAGGTTAAAATCTTATTTTCTTCTCTTCGTTTCTTTTTCACTCTTCTGCGGTTCCAGAAAAGAAACCATCTACAAATTCTCCCCACTTATGAGGGTGACCAAGCAGGCTCCTCAGTGATGTTGCCACTACTATTGAATCACAGACATGCACTTTGTCATTTGTTCATTTTTCTGTTCCAGTACCTGACACTGCTTGCATTTTCATCTATAGTTATCTCTCCCCAGTACTGAATTAGAATCCTCTCAGTCCTCAGTCTGAGAATCGGGGGTGCAAATTTTATCCTCCAATTTGCTTCAAGTATCCTTCTCAACTATGGCACTGTGGTGAAGATGAAGACTACATTTCATCTGCTTTGTCGTCCAGCAATCTACCCAGTTCGCTATAATAGTTGTGCTGCTTGCTTTTAATCAGCAAATACATTGTTCTCTGAAAACAAAAAAGAACTTGATATAGCTTAGCAGAAAGCATTTCTTGCTTTCCCTTCAATTCTAGCAGCCCTTCCCAATATAGTTGCTTTGACAGAGAAGGTGAACACTTCATAGCTTTGCCTCCTCAATTCTGGTGGCCTTCCCCACCTCCACTTTTCTTACCAATTGTCCCACCCAGCTCTTGGTCCATGTGTACGCCAGTTACTAGAGCATCACTGGAGGTGATGAGATCTTGATGGAGTTCCTCCATGAGATTAAATGTTAAATTGGAACCAACTCAGTCTATTTCCTGTGTCTTATATGCTTTTCATTCCCAACTCTTTTCTATATGCAGTAATTCTATATGATTACTCTTTCCTATATTCTGTCCCCATTACACAACACTTATTCTCATTTCTAAACTCTTGGAATAGTTACAGAAGTAAAATATTTTTTATCAATCAGACTTCATAGGGGCTTACAATAAGTTTTGCAGGAAATAAGCTCATTAATATTAACCGCCTTTGAATCTTGCTGGGGAAGTTTGAATATACAATATACAATAACTCCTTTCAAATTGAGTAACAGCTCTCTGGTCTTTCAAAGAGTAATCATATTGTCTATTATTTTTCATTGTGTATGTTGCTGATTTTTTTAAAAAAATACTGACCTTTCCCTCCATGCAAGTCAAGTTTCAGCATTTCATCAACACTCCAGTATAACCTATCCCTATGTATGTGTGCTTGTGTGTGTGCAAGTGCACCCTAATGCTAGAGAATCCTGGAGGTAGGTATGAATGAGTGTGTGGAACAAAATTTGAGAGTACTATAAGCTCCTGAATCTGATCCCAATATATAATTGAGTGTGTCTAAGTATATGGACTAAGAAAAATACAAACAGTAAAATAAGAAAACTTGTGGTAGGCATTCAGTCTCCCCCCCCCCACATTGTATGAATCAGTTTTGGAAAGTCCTTAATCCATCAAGTTCAATTTATTTTTGACAGGTAACAGCTACATAAGATTTCACACATGAATCTTCCAAAGTCCTAGTTGAAATCTCATTGAGGTTTTGTACACTTAAAATTGTGACATTTTGCTTCAGTCCTTCAGATGCTGTAGTAAAGTTATCAATATTAGTGATGGTAGACAAACTGTATCAGAAATCTCAATCATTTTATCAAATTATGGAACTAGTGTTATAGGTTTTCAGATTCAGTGGACATTATGTTTGTGCTTGTCTGACAGCACTGACCCAGCCAGTTACTACATGGCGGAGAGGAATAAATTTACCATGACAGCACACTAGTAAAGATGCTCTGGTAAAATAGGAATCAACAATCTGGCTATCGCCTCCTATTGCATTAAAACAAATCAACAAAAAATCCTGTTGTGTTTTTTAAAAACATCTGCTGTCATCCATTTGGAAATTGCATCACTGGCTTTGGAATGGAAAATAAAAACAGCTCATTATAATATTAATAATAAAATAGCTATAAAACATAAAACACATACAAGGTTTTTAATCACAAAGCCTACTCATAGTTTCTCTTTTTTCACTTTCAATTGCCTGACTCAGAATTCTATACATCCATATACATAGATCTTTGGTGCACCCTGTTTTCTTGCAGACATTTCATTAGGGAAGGGAATTAGGCTTTCTTTCTTTTTATATACTAGAGGCTTATCCTGTCAATATTGGTGGGAGTGTTCTTAATGCTTCCTTGATTACACTGTTGTTTACTATTAGCTTGTTTGTCTGAGTTGGTCGCCCTTTGATTGGAATATTGTTTACTTCTTGATTGTTGCTCTAGGGCTAATCATGGTGTTAATCTGAGTTCTTTAATTATTAGTGAGGAGGTGTTTGAGTTCTGTTGTTTCCTTTTTGTCTTTTTGATTGTCTCTTTTTGTCTGAAGATTTTCTCTTTTTGTCTGAAATGGTAGGATTTCCTGCCTACGGGGGGTTGGACTAGAAGACCTCCAAGGTCCCTTTCAACTCTGTTATTCTATTCTATTCTTTTGAGTAATATGTAGATGTTGCTTATCTCTATGAATCTGTTATCTGAGTCCCAAGCTTTCAGGAATTCTCCAGAGTATTTGGACTTGACTTGATATAGGATACAACATTAAAATATCTGCTAAAAAACCTAACCAAGTTTAAAGAATATCAAAAATCTTACAGTTCAAATCACAGCTCTCTTCTACCACAATACTAAATATTTGTGCAACATAATTTTCCAAAAATTGTTTTATAGTCCTCTTCCCTCCTTCAAAAAAGTTAAGATTATTATTTTTAATTGATGAATGTTTATAGCAACAATATGAATATTCTTCAGAAATGCTCAGTGTTACTAGAACCGTGTAAGTAAAAATAAAATAAAGATACTTCTTTTTGATTTTGCTTGTAAAAAAATTCCTTTTAAACTGTAGTAATCAGAATATTTTGATTTCTACTTCAGTGTCTTGATATCTTTTATTTTATGAATTTATAGAAATATTTCCATTCCACTTAGGGAAGTTTATAAAATTTTAAAATACAATGGCTCATAATAATAGCAATATTTCTATTATTATTACTACTGTAAATAATAATAACTATCAAACTATATCTGCCTATCCCACGTCCTTGGGAAGGACTTGATAGGTGGGTAAAAATGCCAAATCCAGTCTAAACATCTGGCAGACTGTGCAATGCACCATAATAATAATAATAATAATAATAATAATAATAATAATAATAATAATAATACAAGAATACAGACAATAAATACACTTTCCTGTAGCCACACTCAAATCTGTAAAATTCTGATTATATTTGAACAGTTTTTCACAACAGGGAATGATCACAACACAAAGTCATGCTATAAGAAATAGCACAGCAAAGTAGAAATGTGCCAAATTGCCCAGAAACAATTTGGATAGCTGGCAAGCAGGGCTGCCTGCTGGTTTGTGAACAGTATAGGTAATTTGCCACTCAACTCTCTCCTATTTACTTCAATAAATTGTAGGGTACTTAGTATCCTACTATCTGTTATCCATCTGTCTATATTTTTCTGTACTGTCAGTATTTGACACTAGATCTGTCATCTTCTCTATATCTGTAATTCTTGCTACTGTGGCCAGGAGTTGCAAAAAAAAAAAAAAAAAAGCGGGGGGATATGCTGTTTTGGGTCTGGAAGTGCATATACGCCACAATATATCTATGTAGCCTATTAAAAAGGCTGATGCAAGTGGCATAGTAAATGTATTGCATTTAAGTATACACTTTGGTAGCATTGTGTAAGGATAAAATTATGATTAACAACATGCAGAACACAAGCGCTTAAGGCATGTAACTCTCAAAAAAGAGTTCTGAAAATGTGCTATAATATGCCACTGAGAACTCTTAGCAGTACTTGAATCGTTCTGCTCATTAGGTCTGAAATTAGGCAGGATTAAAATCCACTTGCATAGTGAGTATAGCAGAATATATAAAGCAATGTGACAAATATCCATGTGACTGTAAAGTTTGTTTTCTTTAACTAGACGTTCCTGGGAATGATATAGAAAGTTCCTTATGCTGATTGAGATTGCAGAGTGACTCCTGAAGGGAAAAAATTATGATAATCTATTGTCAAACATAAATGTCTTTGTTGATTTATTTAATTGTCCTGGTAAACAGCATAAAACACTGATTTATTGGAAATTACAGTAACTCAGTTCAGTCTCCTCTAGGATTGGCTATCATCTAATCTGTCAGATGTAAATGCCTTATTCCCTAATGTGTAAATAATGTATATATGGGATATCAGGGGTTAACTTATTCTCTGACTCTTAATGTATTCATAATTCACCACTCCCACTCTTGACTCCACCCTTTGTATATATAAGGAGCCACCTTCACCATTTTCTTTGCTTCTATCTGTGAATATTCAGTGAATATAGAATGCCTATTATAATTAAAGAGAAATATATTTAAACCTCTAACTCTTATTATTATTATTGAGTCTGATCCTGAAAATATTGCAACAAGCTGGTAGCAGAGGATGGTTAATTGACTCAATAAATACCTAAAAATGTCTAAGAAAGATAGGCCCAACACCAGGGCCTACAGCAAAGAAATAGAAACTGAACAAGAAATAATCAACGAATCCACAAACGCGATTTCGAGAGAATCCGGAGAATACACCACTGAAGAAGAAGAATTAATAAATGAAAATGATGGCCAGGAGGAAATCGAAATAGAAAATAACGAACTCAGGTCAGAGATATTGAAGTTATTAAAAAGCCAGAAGAATGATGAAAGCCTCATCGCGAACCTCCAAGAAATGCTGAAGAACAGCGGAGCAGCGAGAGAGAAAAACATCGCTAAAGAGAAACCCAAAGACCAAAAAACTGTGAGTGATATGACTACAGAGAAAGTCGTTATGAAAAAGAAAAAATGTGATCCCGCGCGAAATTTTGAATGGCAGCCATCTTGGTTTCAACAAGCCTCCAAAGTGAGCGAAGCAGAGCCAATCAAAATGCTCAGTTCAAAATTTCTAGCGCGAAAAACGTTATCAGACAACGAAAGTGAAAAGGAGGATTCAAACTCTTCGGAAGAGCCAGAATCAGAAAGTGAAGACGACTTAACGAAATCCCAAGTAAAGTCAGCAATGAAGACACTTTTTGCTGCATTTGGGCCAAAATTAAAAATTTCCAAAGCGTCAACGAAGAAGCAAGCGAACAAGCCGATACTTCAAGACCTGCACGCTCCCATCCTGACTTCGAGAGCGACGACGCCCGAGCCCAGAGAGCCATGTCGATTCCGCCCTACACCGCAGACCGAAGCAAGTGCCAACGCACCCAAAAGAAAGAGAAGAACAGTCGCCGCCATCAGAACTCCTAAGACCGAGCCAGAGACCGACTCGTCTGAAGAGGAGCGGAGCGAGCGAGCTACAATGGAGAGAACCTTCCACGACGACGCCAAAGAAGAA